TCCGGATTTCCAGAGCTGTGGTAACATGCTGGATTGGTTGGATAGGCAATACTTGTCCAATGAAGCTCAAATTTGGATATGTTGTAGTTAACATCCATTGGAACAAGTTTCATGAAGATCTTCACCTCATCCGAGTACCAGAGCATGCTGATCCCAGGCCAAGAAGTTGACCTACGAAAATGAACAAAAACAAAGTTTATAACCAATAATGCACTTTTAGCTCATTTTCATTCCAACCAAGGTAAAATCTAAGAAAACACAAAAAGGAAGTAAAAAGCTATAAAATGTCAAGAACTAACTCAAAATAGTGGGTGAATAACATGAAAAATCATGTGTAAAAATGAACCGAACACAAACCTCGAGAGATTTTGCACTGATGCCTATTCTTTTGCATGGTCCTCCTCCACGAGAAGTATGCACTTGAGAGATTGTAGAAAATTAAAGACATTGGGTTTTGCACCAGTAAGCAAAAAGCTGCCTGTAGTTGCAGAGAATTTAAGTGATGATCATGAAAGAGGCAGAGAAGAATCGGGATTTGGATGTGCATCATCAACTGGATTTGGATATGGATTTGGATGTGCGCCACTAGTCTGCTTACAAAGTCGTCCATCTACTCGCAACTTTACTCAAATATTGCCCCGCCTTGTACATAGAGAGGTACGTCATTATTCTAAAGCAATATTTAGTGTCGATTTTGTGAAAATTGGTCTTAGGTATAGATGTCATTGAAGATAAAATATAAATAAAATGAAAAAGGAAAGTTAAATGGGCTTGGCCCAAGCACGGCCCATGACAATTGTAAACACTTGTTCATTTTTATTTGGGAAATGATCACCATTATTTTCACAACCAGTCTTATTGATATCTAGAATGTGATAATATACAATAATTAAACTGCTTAGTTAAACAATAAACAATACTGGTACCTTCTTTTTATACGAATACTGGTAACTAGCTTAGTTCAACAATAAACAATTCATTTTTCATTTTTAAACAACGTTCTTGATTTCTAGAATGTGATAATATCTCATATGTTTATGATTGAAACACTAACAAATTAATATACAATTACTTTTCTACCATTTTGCCAGGTTACGCCGGCAAATCTTCAGACCTCAAGTGCTAGCGACAATCTAGAAGATCTCCATGTAGAATGGTGCAATTTATTGGAAATGATATTTTTGGTTCAGGAAACCCCTTCTACTCAAGCATTTGATAAGCTGAGGGAATTGAAGTTGCGGTATTTACCAACGCTGAACCACATATGGGAAAAGGGTTTACAAGTTAGCTCAGGCTTTGGAAACCTGAGATTACTGCGAGTACAGGGCTGTGACAATTTGAGATACTTGTTTTCACTGCACATAGCCAAACTTCTTACCTGCCTTGAGACAATAGAAGTTTCCGAGTGTAGTGCGATGGAGAAAATTGTTGGCGAGGGAGAAGGAGAAGGAGAAAGTATTAAGGATGAATTGACATTTCCGCACGTGAAGTATATCCAACTTGAGTATTTACCCAAACTTGAATTTTTCTGCTCTCAAGCTTATACTTTGAAGTGGTCGTTAGCCTTGAAGAAAGTCAGGGTTCGAAAGTGTCCAAAATTAAAAGCGTTTGCTCCTGAGTCTCTATATGTATAAGCAGCCGACATAGACCTGGCAATATTACACACGACCCGTTAACACGACACGAATTCGCACGAAATTATAAGTATTTGGGTTGAGCTTAATGGGTCGGGTTGAAAACGGGTGAACCCGTTAGCCACCCGTTAAGCTAACGGGTCGTATCGGGTCAATTCGCGAATATTCGCATCCACCCGTTAAGGAGGGTATTTTTGTAATTTTCCAAAATATTTTTTTAAAACATATCTTAATTCCTAACACCAAACAGATGCTTCTTCTTTTTTCTGTTATTTTTTATCTCTCCATCTGTCCCACTTTCTTTTTTAATATTATTTTTCCTTCAACCTATTCTCTCTCCGTGACTTCACTTTTTTCTTCTTCTTTCCCCTTTTCTCCAGCTCTCTTTTTTTCATTTTCTTCTTCCTCTTTCTGTCATTCTCTATCTCTCCTTTATTTTTAAAAAAATATATCTTCTTCTCTCCACTCAAAAGACCTAGCCCAGTCAAGAGAAGATTGTTGTGAAACGGAGACCTTCATCACGGCGACATCACCTGAGATTTTAGATTTCTTCATGTACTTCCCCATCTCTCTTTATTTCTCTGTTTTTGATGTTGTTGTTGGGTTTTAAGTTTGGATTGAATGAGAGTAACTGTGAAAGTGGTTACCCGAGAGAGAGAGATGGAGGGACCAATTTTGTAAGATACTTGAGAGAGAGAGAATGGGTTAGGGCTGAAACGAAGAAGGGAAAGAGGGAAGAAAAGTTAGGGCTCGGGTTTGGGGGAAGAAGAGTTAGCTTTGGGTAATATTTTTTTTTTCCTGTTTATTCTTAACGGGTCGTGCGGATTTTTTGCGAATGTTAACGGGTCGTGTTTGGGTTTGATATTTTTCACCCGTTAAGTTAACGGGTCGTGTCGTGTTCAATCCGTTATAACGGGTTAACACGAACACGACCCGGAACCCGTTAAAACGACCCGTTTGCCAGGTCTAAGCCGACATGTGTCTATAAAGCGTCCACGTGGAAAGAAAAGAAGGTACGTTTTCAATTGAACCAAGCACTATGGTCGGTCACTATAAAATCAGTAGAAGATATATATAGCTTAATATATTTTCATGAATTGGCGTTGCTTTTTATTTTTCTTTGCCTTATCTTTCTTATGTCATTAGTCCATCTCCACATTTTTTAGTATTATTATTATTTTTAAACTTCTTTTCAGGATTTACTATTGTTTAACCATTAGAGAATAATTTCTATACCATAATTTTGTCTCTAATTGGCACAGAGAAGCCATAAACCCCTGATACCTAAGCTCTATGTTCTTAAAGATTATACTAAGTACCCTGATAACACAAATGTAACTCAATAAAAAGTACCTTAATTTACTTATATGCTTTTAATTGGGCTCATTCCCCTGATATACGCCCATCATGGACTATAATACAAAATAATCTCTAATCATAATAAACGTTTAAATCTAAACTCCCACGAACTATTTAATAAAAAATAAAATAAAAGTTGGATTTATTTGAAATGTCTATATATGGCTCGTGAAAATTCTTATTTATTAATAATTTTTTTATTCTTTATTTTGTATAATCTTTGAGAAGAATATCATAAGAAGCCAAGAAGCTAGGGACAAGACTACATGATATGTTGCGGTGCACATCTACAAGATACCATGACATACCAATTTCGTTACCGTTGTTTTCATCACTGATTATACATGTTCTTTGTTAATGATCCTCATATCTTGCCATTGCATCTCTTTGATCAGATAATTTAGTTATTATGTTTAGTTGTATTATAAAACTGGATTTATTTGGACCTTCCTTTTAATATGTAATATTACCATATTGAATATTTGGATGTTTGGCTCATGAGAATTCAATTCATCTTAAGAACTTAGTCATTTTGAGTATAATATCCTGAATTTATGTTTCTCCATTGAATTGGGTGAACTCAACTCTCTCTCTCTCTCTCTCTCTCTCTCTCTCTCTTTTTATATATGTATATGCACTTTCATTCATACACACATACACGTATACACATGTGGGAAGTGGTGATTTAGTGAAAAGCTAAGTAAGACACTACAACAAAATGTTGCTTTAGTGACGATTTTGTCAGCAAGGAATTATATTTTCTCGTAGAAGTATCCTTTCAGCGAGGAAAATGTTAAATTTTCGCAAAAAGTGACTTGAATTTCGTTTTCAAATTGGACCAAGCTATAGCGACGACAGGTTGGATGCAGCGACAAATAATGTGGACGTTGTAGATTTTCACAGCGACGAACTATTGTTTTCCTTGTGGAAAGTATAGCGGGAATTTTTGACAATTCCCTCCAATATTATATAATCCTTGCAATAGAAGACTTTTAATGAGGCATTAATTTCCTTGCAGTATGTCTCCCACATCGTTAACGAGGAAATAGTTGTTTCCTCACAGATAGTTTAGTATGAATTTTTGACAATTCCCTTCAAACCTATAGCAACAAACAATATATAATCCTCACAATAGAAGCCTTTTAAAGATGAATTAATTTCTTCTCCCAAATTATTTTCACCATTTATTTACAAGGAAATAGTGTTTTCCCCGTGGCTTGGCATCTTCATCATTGTTTTGAAGTTCAGAAAGGAAGCACACTCTGCTGCATGGGTTTGTGAGGTTGATGAACAATGGAGGATTGGTTTAAATGAACACGACGATCGTTCAGACACCTGCATAAATTGTAAAAAAATTCTTTTGGTTAGGGTATAAACTAAGTCCATAACTAAATGAAAAAAAAAATGATCATAACTCAGGAAGACGACAGAGACTTGCATAAAATATACAGAACTCGTTCCCAAACTGTTCCAAAACAATGGGGAGTTAGTCTACTGCACCGAACATTTGACAGAAAATTGTTCACACTAAACTTTTATATTCTTCATTTATGACTACTTTAAACTTTTAATTTGAATTAAATGTCACAAAACACGGAATTGTAACCAAGTAATTAACCCTGTAAGTGAGAGTGGTTGGCAGCAGCCCCTCCAGTTGAAATGAATCCACTTTTTCATTTTTTATTCTATTTACCACTATATTAATTTGAGTGATATTGTCCGTTAAGAATTAATCACATCATCTCTTTCACGCGAATAACTTGCCCCTTTTTTTCCTTTTCACTTTATTGTCTTGTTTTGCACAATTTGCCTCTTTTTTCCCACACCACTCACATTTGTCAACATCTACTACCCTACTACCTATCCCATATTCATCCCTTTGTCTGTCTTTGTCTATTTCCTCACATACACTCTCTCTTTATCATTGTTTTCCTTACTTTCACTGGTCTCATTTTAAAATTAGCCACATGCCTTGTTCATGCTTTACCTTTCTGGTTAAAGGGGAATACCGCTAAATGCCACTCACAATTAAATTTAATTTGCAAATATCACCCTTAGTCATACATTTTACAAATACAATCTATAAATCACACATGAAAAACTATAAAACAGAAATTAAACTAAATGACTATGAATATACCGATAGCGAGTGTAATCGTCGTGGTGCAAACCATGCTGCATCTGAGCAGATCAAGAGATGCAATACTGTAAAAATCAAATTTAAAAAAAAGAAGACAAAGACGTAGTGAGGGTCATCGCTGCCATAGAAGCAGTGGCCCAGGACCAGAGGATTTCTGCCCCAGTTTCTTTATTGAGCTCCTTGATATTTCTTATTGAATTTACAGTTTCGAAGCATGAGTTTCTCTTTTCCTTTTATTCCTTTTGTTCTTTCACAAGGTAACTAGTTTCATCAAGCATTCTCTGCTTTCGTCAATGACTTCATTGAAGCTAATGGCAAAGCTGATGCAATACAATTCCTTGTTGAGCCCATCTAAAATTTCAAAGCAAGTTACAAATTTTATAGAGCTCGGAGAATTACGGAAACTAGCAACATCATGGAAAGGGCACCAGACGAGTTTGATGACATCTTTTCATTTTGGATGAGGAAATGGTGTTTGTATGCTGAAATGATTAGCAGTTCCATTAAAACAGACTGAAAGATTTTGACTAAAGATTCTGAAATGACGAAAATGCAGAGGTGAAAAGTTTTGTTCACTCATAACTCCATCTTTATCTCCATCAGCTTTCTCTGTTGTAACCATCAACAGGGCGACGGCCATGGGCCTCCGATTTTTGGGGCCTCAAATTTTTATATATTAAGTAGTAATAAAGTAGTAATATTAATTAAAAATAAAAAAAAACATAAAGAAAACAAATTGAGCCAGAGAGACCGTTGAATAAACAATCATCATCTGTCTCCCACTCCATCCTCACGCATGCCTTCTTTTATCTTTTGTACATCCTCATCTGTCTCCCACCCCACGCATGCCTTTTTTATCTTTTATTCTTTTTTCTGCCCAGCAGCTTCTTTTAAAACTCAAGATTTCTCAAATAATTCTCTCCCAAACACCTCTCAACTATCAAATCCGTCAGCCCTGTTCACAGATCCAAAGCATCAACTTCCTAAGCTCAAATCGAAATTCTCCCTCTATCAAACTTGTTCCTCTTCATCTCTACTATAACATGTCCAAAAATTAGCCCAATCAAAGAAATTTAGACACCTGAAATGCAGTTTTAGTGTAAGTATGTCGTTTGATTTTTTATTTATACATATTTGAATTCTTTATACATATTTTTTATATTATTGCAGATGTGAAATATAGATCAATTGAAGTGAAAGCTCTGCAAGATTAAAGTGGTTTAATACAACTTAAGCATAAACCAGGTTGTATTGGTTTTTTTTATTGCTTAAATTTAGTTTTTTTCCTTTGCTGGTTGTGTTTGGTTGCTTCCTGGTTGTGTTTGGTGTGGTGTGTTTATTTTGTTCATTTGTTGTCTCTCACTTTCTAGATTTAAGAGTTGCAGTAACAAAAATGGTTAGGAAACATGAATCTGGAAGTCAAAAAAGAAATAAAATGAGAAAAATAGAAAAAATGATTCAAACTCAAAAAGGAGCTCTTGATAAGTTTTTTAAAACTAGGTCTTCAATTGACGATCCATCTGATGAATTAGTTAATGAATCACAACAACCAATTAGTCAGGAGGAAGAAATGAGAGAGAATGATACAAATGAATTGAATGTGGTTGGTGATCAATTTGAGAATGAAAATGAAACAAAACAAATAATTCATGCTTTGAATATCTATGATCCAAGAATTTGGGATAACATTGATAACAAAACAAAGGATATTTTAATAGAAAAGGGTCCTGTAAGAGAAAGTAATCTCCAGTTTCCTATTGATGGCCTCTCTAGGCATTTTTCATATTCTTATTATACAAGAAAGTTATCAAATGGGGAGGGTCAAGATAGAAAATGGCTAGTGTACTCAAAAGATGTGGACAAAGTATATTGTTTTTGTTATAAAGTGCTATCATAACCTTGGCCCCTTACATTATTAATATCAAGTTTAAGACACTTTAATACAGCTTGTAACTCATTAAAAAGCCCACATCCAGATGTATCATCCACTTTCAAGAATTCTAAAAAAAATACTCTTCTACCTTTATGGGAGCATTTGACACATCTACACATCGAATTATTAAAGTCATTTGCTCATGGTTACTTACATCTGGAGTACAATCAAGTATTACAGAAAAATATTTTGCCTCTTTGATTTTTTCAATGATAGCACTTCTAACCTTGGAGCCTAACATACCAATAAACTCATTTTGAATTTTATGACTAAGATAGTGATAATGAATCTCATTATTTTGAATACGTCTAAAATGCTCTTGCAGTACCAAATCAAATTCTGCAATTAATTCAAGCAGCCCCAAAAAGTTACCATTGTTATCTTGGTAAATTTTCTCATTCTCTACACGAAAAACTAAATTTCTTTTAGCAAGACATCTCACAACAGAAATTATTCTTGCTAAAACCAATTTCCAATGTTCCTTCTCTTTTTTAATTTGCACTTGTAGCTCTTTATCAATTGTTTCATTCTTTTTCAATCTAATTTGCATGTCAATCCAAGTTGTCATGTTATTGATATGCTCACTACTAGTTTCATGTTGTTTAAGCCTCTCACTTAAACGTTTCCAGTCATTAAGCCCTTCATTTGCCAACAAACTTTTAATTTTCACAGATTTAAATAACTTACAACAAAAACAATATACTTTGTCCACATCTTTTGAGTACACTAGCCATTTTCTATCTTGACCCTCCCCATTTGATAACTTTCTTGTATAATAAGAATATGAAAAATGCCTAGAGAGGCCATCAATAGGAAACTGGAGATTACTTTCTCTTACAGGACCCTTTTCTATTAAAATATCCTTTGTTTTGTTATCAATGTTATCCCAAATTCTTGGATCATAGATATTCAAAGCATGAATTATTTGTTTTGTTTCATTTTCATTCTCAAATTGATCACCAACCACATTCATTTCATTGGTATCATTCTCTCTCATTTCTTCTTCCTGACTAATTGGTTGTTGTGATTCATTAACTAATTCATCAGATGGATCTTCAATTGAAGAACTAGTTTTAAAAAACTTATCAAGAGCTCCTTTTTGAGTTTGAATCATTTTTTCTATTTTTCTCATTTTATTTCTTTTTTGACTTCCAGATTCATGTTTCCTAACCATTTTTGTTACTGCAACTCTTAAATCTAAAAAGTGACAGACAACAAATGAACAAAATAAACACACCACACCAAACACAACCAGGAAGTAACCAAAAACAACCAGCAAAGGAAAAAAACTAAATTTAAGCAATAAAAAAAACCAATACAACCTGGTTTATGCTTAAGTTGTATTAAACTGCTTCATTCTTGCAGAGCTTTCACTTCAATTGATCTATATT